TGTGACTCATACATCAGGCGGCGAGCAGCCCGTCCAACAGCCTGGTTGATCAGTCCAGCAACCAGGAGGCCTGGTCGATGACCGGGCCGTGGGGACGCTAAGCCCCAGAAGCACCTCAAGGTAACCTCAAGGTAGGTAAGGTACCTGTTATGCCTCGGTCATCCTGCCTGTTCGGTCAGTGACATCTTCGACCCGGAGTCCTGCAAGTGGTGTTGCTTGCATGTACTCTACTTCACTCAATCCACTGATCATGCTACTCGGGTGCAGGCGGCTTCGGTATTGCATACGTGTTAAAGGTTGCTGCTGCACACTAAGTTGGTTGCTCACCACAATGCCCTGAGGCTGCCCCGTTTTGGTTACAGGGACCCAAACTTAGGGGGTTTTAATCGCCTTGACTTTAGTTTCGTCCGTGCCCCCCTTGTCCTTTCCCTGCTATTGTTCACCCTGTTCCCCCCATCCCCCTGCTTCTGGCTCCGAAGAGCCTGAGGGTTTCAGAGTCCGGACAGGGTTTAGTTGGTGGTGTGATTCGGGCAGTTTCGGGGGATGGCCCATTCGGTGTGGCGACGGAGGCATTTGAGCCGGTTCATCAAGCCCGTGGTTCCGGGTGTGACCGGTGAGCCCCCCTGGCTCCAGCTTTTCTGGTGGCTTCTGCATTTTCTCTTAAGGCGGAGGGTTTGGAGGACGGCTCGGCCCGAGTCCTGATAGTGAGGAACCTTCCCCCTCCTTGAGAACCGTTTGATATGGCATCAATCCCTCCTGGGGTTCGGTTCCGGGCTCCCTTGGGTACTTTGGTCCTGTCTTTCCAGACATTTTCGGCCCCCCGCATCCTACCTCATGAGTTGCGGGAGGCCACTGCGGAGTATCTCCTGCACGACCCGGATTACGCCTCGATAATGGATCCTGCCTTTTTTTGAGATCGGTTCTTCTTCTCCTTACTGGGTGCATTACGAGGTTCCAGAGTTGTCCTGGTTGGCAGACTGACTTATCTGTTTGTTGGGGGCATGGCATACATTCTGTCGGTCCCGCACGCTTGAGTGGTGAGATGCCCTTACGGTTGTTCAGGTTTACCTGGGGGGCGAGTTTGAGTGCCTCAATGCGTGTTTCCTCACCCCTGCCCTTCCTTGGGATGTTGGCCTGGTATAGCTTCACGTGCAGGTTACCCTTCCTTTCGGCTGCTCTGGTTGACGAGGACTTGTGCGCCCAAGGCCATTTGGCTTTAGTCTTGCATTTCTTTTCCCTACTCGAGCTGTCATTGGATTGGCTTGAGGACGTCAAGGCATTCGGGGCTGATCCTGGGTCTGGTGCGCTGTGCCTTTTTGCCCTTTGCTGCTTGCAGAGTCTGCGGTGGTGCAGTATCTGCAGGCGTCTTCTTCTAGTAGTCGTCCCATGTTGGACCTGTTGGTTCTCCAGGGGGTCTGTGGGTGGTCTTCCCGAAAGGGTCGTGCCAGGGCTTGTGGTTCCTGCCACTGTGGTAGGCCAGTGGTGCCAGATTCAAAGCCGGCGGAGCCTTCCGAACTGACGACGACTGGTCGGCGTGGTGACCGCTCTGCTTGTAAGTCGACTTCTCGTAAGGGGCTTCGGCCATTTCGCAGTTCGTTTCATTGACGAGGCGATGGGGAGGAGGCTTGCGCTGTTTACTCACACCTGATCCCACGATCTGTGAGCTTTTTGAGTCGTTTCTTGTGGCCTGCGGTGGTGTTGGGTCGCCCCTCTTCCTTTGGGGGGAGGAGGGGGCAAGCCTCTTCTCCTGCGCTTTGTTGGTCATCGCGGAGCGGGTTCGCTTGGGCGTGGTCGAAACATCCTCATTCCTCAGGTGGGTTTCCCTCCTGTTTCCGGTTCCGAAACAGAGCTACGCGGACCTGTGGTTCAATCTGAACCCCTAGGTCTATTGCCCTTTCTTTCAGATGGCTACTCTGTCCCAGGTCGGGCTTCTTTAGGAGCCGGGCGCTTGGCAGGTATCCCTGGACCTCCGGAATGTGCATTGGCACGTCCCAATTCATCCGGCGTTCAGGGACTGGCTCGGTTTTGTTGTGGAGTGTCAGGCTTACGGCTTGAATCTGGCACCTCGCATTTTCACCCCCTTTACCCGGGTCGTGGTGGCGCCAACTTCGTCTCTTAGGGGTTCAGGGTCTGGCCTACCTGAACGACTGCCTGGTATGGGCTCCCAGCCAGTCCTCGTGTCTGCTTGCCAGAGATTTCGTTCTTTCCCAGCTTGCCGGGTTCGAGTTAGTGATGAACTGGAGGAAGTCCCATCTGGTTCCCTCTCAGGTTTGGTCTTGGCTAGGTCTTGTGCAGGACTCTCGGACAGCTTCCTTGCCTCTCCCTCCGGTGGCTCTGCTGCCGCTGCGGTCCCGCCTTTGCCTGTTTCTGGGGGGGGGGGGGGGGGGTGCTGGGTCATGCGGCGGTTGCTCGAGGGTTTGTGCAGGAGTCTGAACTTTGCCGTGTTGGTTTACCTGCCGGCCGGGTTTGGCTTCGTCGGCTGTTGTGGTTCTTTCGGGAACGTCCCTTCCACCTTTCTCGCAATCACTTGGTTCAGCTTCCAGGACGGCGACAGCCGTCCTGGAACTCGCCCCCCTAATATGTCGGCTGCTGCGTCACCGGCTTCCACTTCAGGTTTTTTGAAGTTCAGTGTCTTGGTGCCTGCCTGTGCCCTCACTCAATGTGTTCACGGACGCGTTGTTTCTTGGCTGGGGCTTTGTGACCAGTGCTCACCAGACCGGTCAGGAGCGGTGGGGTTCGTCCTTTTGTCGGGCCCCACAGCATGGTGCGTGGAGTTTGCAGCGGTGTGGTTGTTGCTTTGGAGGGTTCAGGTGACTCGCAGATCGACGATCTGGCTCCATTCGGACTGCTCTCTGGTGGTTCATTGCCTGAACCGCGGGGGTTTGATGCTGTCCTTGGCTCTTTGGAGCTGGTCGTTTCGGGTGACTCGTCTGCTCTTTCTCAGGGTTTGGCTCTCCTGGCTGTTCACGTTCATTGGGTGTCCAACATCCTAGCAGACAGCCTGTCCCGGTTCATTCCACTATCCACAGAATGGATGGTTGACGCTGACTCGTTCAGTTGGCTCTGCTGAATGTACAGGCTACAGGAGATGTACCTCATCCCGTCGGCATGGTCGAGGCATCTCCTGGTATATGTGGTGCCTTTTCCCCGACTGTGAGGCCATCGGGGTCGATGCCTTCAGGCAGGACTGGGGTTACCTGTACCTCTTCTCTCCTCCCCTCCCCCCCTCACCCGCCCCAGTTCCACGGCTGCTCCAGGTCCTGGCTTACTTGGAGACTTACCAAGGGAGAGTAGTCTTCTTGGCCCTTTGGTGGCCAGCCCATCCTTGGTTTCAGGCGCTGCTTGTTCGATGTCCGAACCCAAGGGTCTTCCTACGGCTCCACCTCTTTCAGCAGATCGGGCCAGACCGTTATGTAGCTGCTTCAATCATCTTAAATTTTCGCGTCTGGTCTTCTGATGCGGGTCTATCACCACTTGTATGGTGAGCAGTATGGTGGCTAGTATGATCAAGTTTCATGGCATGAATGTTTCCTTCCTTTTTTGGTTGTTTCAGGACCATCATCTTAAGCCAAATACTGTCACCTCCTATCTTGCAGCGCTGGCAGAGCAGCTTCAGCTTGCGTTTGGGAGGAATGTAACTTCTGCTATGTTCCACAAGGTGCCTCGTGCGATGTTTCACCTCCAGCCTGCTCATGCGCTGCCCGAGTCATCCTGGTGGTTGGACTGGGTGCTCTCTTTTCTCTCTTCTCAGTTTGCTGTGGTCCCTTCGGGTCAAGATTGTTTTGCGAAGGCTCTTTATTTCCTGTTGACATTGGCCTCTGGGGTTCGGGTTGGGTAGCTTCATGCTCTCTTCCGGCACAGAGGTTTCTGCTCTTTTGGTCCTGGTGGTAGGTTTGTCCGTTTGCAGCCGTTTCCTTGTTTTCTGGCAAAGAATCAGACTGCTGCTTTCGGGAGGGGGTCCTTGGGTTGATGGTGCTTGGTTGGTTCAGCCGGGGGTGCATCATGTGTTGTGTCCGGTTGCGGCTCTTCGCTGTTACCTGTGCGCCACGGCCTCGGTGGCCGAGGACGTGCTTTGAGTTGACCCAGTTTCCCTTCTTCCCTGTTCCAGAGTTCAGGTGTCCCAGGTCGTCCGCAGGATTATTCGGTCCAGCCAGCCTGCGGTCTATCCTCATGCCCATGACGTTCGTAAGTTTGCTGCGTTGGCTGCAGTCTTCGGTAACATGTCTTGTGGGTTGACATTCGAGCACAGTGTTTTTGGAGGTCGAACACGGTCCTGGCTGCTCGCTACCTAGACAATGTTCCTGGCCACTAGCTACCTAGTCAATGTTCCTGGCCGCTCGTTACCTAGTCAATGTTCCTGGCCGCTCGCTACCTAGTCAATGTTCCTGGCCGCTCGCTACCTAGTCAATGTTCCTGGCCCTAGTCCAACATGTGTCAAATTAGGTCAGCAGTTGCAAACAGTTGTCTTGACTTTGAGTTGAAGAGCGAGTGGCAACCGCCTCCCAGGTAAGTCACTCTTGTTCTATCTTTGGTTAAGTAGCTCCAGGGACCCGAATGGGCTCCCCTCAGAAAACCAGGGTTGAATATAATGAAACCCCATTTTCTGGCCGAGACCTGGAGGCTTCCCGGTAACCCTCCCTCCCTCCCTCCGATCAGCGGTTTTCACGTTTTTATTTTTTTTTTTTTACTTTCAGCCTGTAAATGACCATACTACTCTTTGTTTCATTTTCACAGTTGTTTACATCTTCCTTGCTATTTCTTATTCAACCATTCTTGTGGCTTATTTCTCAAGTTAAGGCAATCCAGCAACCCCCCCCTACTTTCTGCACATATGTCTGGAGGGACCATGTTGTCCCATCTGTTTCCTGGTAGGCTTTTAATGACTTGCAAAGGCCTGGGTGTGACGTATATGGAGCTATTCAGGTGGTTAGTATCAGGCACCCATCAAGGAAGACCTACAAAACATATACAGTACAGAAAAGAATAACATCAGAGCTCACCTGCAGAAGAACAAGTAAATTTTGCCATGGTCTTAGAGGCCTTCACATAACCAAAGGCATTGAAGGTGGCTACATGAGTGAAGGTGTCAACTCCACTTGGCTGCCATAAGATACCATCAACATCATGTCGAAGGCAAAATGCCGGGAGTGACACTTCATGAACCTGTAGAGATAGAACATTAATAGATGAAGATTTAGACATATATAGAACATCCTTCCTTTGATATACAGATGGAGGCCAAATATCTACAAACATCTACACATTACAGCTACACAAATTTTGGAGTGGATCAGAATATGAATATTATACGTATAGTATAAAATACTGAATTATACCATGGATCTACCGTGTTCTTGGCAATGTTGTGCATACACATATACTCCACATTTCATGGGTTTCACAAACTTTAAACACTTAAGCTCACTGATATCATATCTTAACTACAACACTGGAATGCAACTCACACTAGATGACAGGAACAGGACCTCACAGAAATTTATTTACTGAGGTAAATAGAGGAATCAGATGTTAGAGAAGTACTTACAGGGAACCTAGGGAAGGGAACCCTAGGCGCATGCAGCCCGAGTACTGGAGAATAACTCCTGGCTCTTGCACCCCTAGAAGACAGCCCCACACTCAAAGCACAGTGCTGAAACTATGTCTGGAGCCAGAGCACATGACCGGAGCCTCTAGCATCAGCCTAAGAACTAAAGGGTGGATAGCTGGAGTGTGGGGGTCTGGGGCTCACCCTTCCTCCTCCCGGAGAGGGGGGAGCTGCACAGATAGTGGCACAATGACGTGTGACATAATGATCGTTTGCTGGTTTCGTTTAGGGGAGTTCTATTCACTTGTTCGGCTTTTGGTAGCAATATTTTCACCAGAATAGGGTTTTGTTTTGGGATGCTTATCTTTCTGGGTGCCTGACCCGGTCGATGGCAGACATAGAATGCTTCCAATCACACAGGGGTTTCTATAGGCCATTGCTCCCCTTGCCTCTTCTGAGGGGGCCAGGTTCTGGCTCGTGGTCCCCAGTAGGCCCATAGAACTTCATATACAGTACAACCTCGATTCAATGTACCCCGATTTAACGAATCTCCAGCTAGTTCGCACACTTTTCAGGCCGGATTTACTCACCCGGTTCGACGAACAATGGTTCGCAGAAGCGGAGGATGTTCGGATTTGCTTACGACGTTGAGACAGAGTTCACAGACTGGTGGAAAACTTTCACATTCTATCACAGATTACAATTATTAATTCCTTCATATGACAAGTTCGATCACACAAGTGGACCACACAAGTGGACCGCACATGTGGTCCACAAGTGGTCCACAAGCTTACGATGTTGGGACAGAGTTCACAGTGGTAGAAAACTTTACCATACCATCACAGATTACAATTAATAATTCCTTCATATGACAGGTTGGATCACACAAATGGACCACACAAGTAGTCCACAAGCTTACGATGTTGGGACAGAGTTCACAGAGTGGTGGAAAACTGTTTCATTCTATCACAGATTACAATTAATAATTCCTTCATACGACAAGTTGGATCACACAAGTGGACCACACAACAAGTGAATCATATGAACCAAACACCAGCCAGAATGGTCCACAAGAAGTGACGCATATTAACCAAACACCAGCCAGAGTCGTCCACACAAGTGAACGACTGAGTTTCAATGATTTTCGTTCACCGATTTGTGGCACATTTATCTTTGTAAATTAATTTAAAGGCTGAAGCGTGAATAGCTAGCTAATATGTTGAAACCTTCTTATATACATTTTCTGTGATGAAACAAGACGAGTGAGGGTGGACAGATAAGGGAATACTGTACAGTAAACCTCACTTTTTTTTTTTTTCTTTTTTTTTTGAGATATATACAAGAGTTGTTACATTCTTGTACAGCCACTAGTACGCGTAGCGTTTCGGGCAAAAACTTTACAGTGAGGTTTCACTCACTTTCGTCTGTGTTGTCATAGTTCAATGACCCATGGCTTTGAACATTTCACATTAATAAATAATTTCTAAAACTGGTGTTTTAATAACTCCTTATTATCCTAATTAAACTAAACTATATAAAACCAAAAATATACTGTAATAAGATAGATATCTCCTATTTGAGAAATTATTCACGTTATTGGCAGCACAACTCCAGCACGAGTGAACAGGTCTAGTCCCTGTCCATACAACACCATGCTTGTGGTTGTGGTGTTCGATTTCGTCGCCACAGTTCAGCGATCTACGGCTTCGAAATAATAAAATTAATAAATCAGTTCCAAAATAAGTATTTTTTATAGCTCTTATTATCGTAATAATGTTGCTAAACTAAATATATAACCCAAAAATATATAATTTGATGTAAATTGAATATTTAAGAGAAATTTATGTTACTGGATCAGGCTTAAACACCAGCCTACTGAAGGGTGTACGTATAGACTTAGTCTGCGTTCGTACAGTATGCACCCAGTGCCCTTAGCTTTGTCTGCGATTGACGTACAGTATTTATCCGCCGGTGGAAGAATAATCGTGGAATTGACCATTTTTTTGCTACAGCTCTTTGGTTATAGTAGCTTTGTCTGCGATTGGCGTACAGTATTTATCCGCCGGTGGAAGAATAATCGTGGAATTGACCATTTTTTTACTACAGCTCTTTGGTTATAAAACAAAATGTCTCAGGGGCTTACTAATAGTGCCTTATTAATGCCAAAAATGAAGCAATATTTTGCAAGAACTAGTAGCAGAAAATCAACCAGCACGAGAACAGCCGTACCCAACACGAGAACAGCCGTACCCAGCACGAGAACAGCCGTACCCAGTACGAGAACTGCGTACCCAGCACGAGAACAGCCGTACCCAGCAGGAGAACAGCTGTACCAAGCACGAGAACAACCGTACCCAGCACGAGAACAGCCGTACCCAGCAAGAGAACAGCCGTACCAAGCACGAGCACAGTTGTACCCAGCACTGGTACAACAGCCGTACCCAGCACGAGCACAGTTGTACCCAGCACTGGTACAACAGCAGCCAGCACCAGCTCAGAAGCAGCTGAACCCACAGCAGCAGCGAGCACCAGCAAAGCTGATGCAAACATCTAAAAACATCGTGTGCAGCGTGAACAGTTAGAACAAGTGTTAAATTTAAGTGTGTACACAGTGTTAAAATTAAAGTTGCAGTAATTTTAGTGTACAATAGTTTTCATAAACTGTATTGTAGTACTCAACATACAACAGAACTACTTTTAATCAACACAGTGCTAACGGCATAATGCACTGCAGTACGTATTTAACCCCTTAACTGCGTTGCCTCCAAATGTAACACCCCCGCAGTGCGCAGGAAATAAATTCTCTGGAAAAAATTCTTTTTTCTTTTTAAAGTGTCAAAAACCCTTCCCTCAGTATGGGTATGTAAAAAAAAAGTCGAAATTGTACTTACTTTGGCTGCTATGGGGTCCGGAAGTTGGGGCGTGACGTCATCATTCCCCGTGCGCCCGTGCTATAAGCTCTCGGGGGCGGTGGGGCGCTCGGGGCAGGGCGCGCGAGTTGCCGCGAATATATTTTCGTTCATTTTTTGCGCACCTTTCCAAATACATTTTCATTGTTTTTATGTGCCAATCCAATGTATAATTAACACGTACACTATAATATCGCAGTACAACATCCGTACTGTCCGTAGACACTGTGTTACGTGCATGAAACTTGTGTACACATATGCAGCACATATTTGCTATGTATCATGCTAATTTGTGTATATATACAATCTATTTACACACTATATACATTCACCATCAACACATTCAGAACACCGCGTAGCAGCTGCTTCGTATGGGCCAATATCAGCTGCCTCGTATGGGCCAATATCAGCTGCCTCGTATGGGCCAATATCAGCTGCCTCGTATGGGCCAATATCAGCTTCCTCGTATGGGCCAATAGCAGCTGCCCCGTATGGGCCAATAGCAGCTGCCCCGTATGGGCCAATAGCAGCTGCCTCGTATGGGCCAATATCAACTGCCTCGTATGGGCCAATATCAGCTGCCTCGTATGGGCCAATATCAGCTGCCTCGTATGGGCCAATAGCAGCTGCCTCGTATGGGCCAATAGCAGCTGCCGCATATGGGCCAATAGCAGCTGCCTCGTATGGGCCAATAGGAGCTGCCTCGTATGGGCCAATAGGAGCTGCCTCGTATGGCCAATAGGAGCTGCCTGGTATGGGCCAATATCAGCTGCCTCGTATGGGCCAATATCAACTGCCTCGTATGGGCCAATAGCAGCTGCCTCGTATGGGCCAATATCAACTGCCTCGTATGGGCCAATATCAGCTGCCTCGTATGGGCCAATAGCAGCTGCCTCGTATGGGCCAATATCAGCTGCCTCGTATGGGCCAATAGCAGCTGCCCCGTATGGGCCAATATCAGCTGCCTCGTATGGGCCAATATCAGCTGCCTCGTATGGGCCAATATCAGCTGCCTCGTATGGGCCAATAGCAGCTGCCTCGTATGGGCCAATAGCAGCTTTCCCGTATGGGCCAATATCAGCTGCCTCGTATGGGCCAATAGCAGCTTTCCCGTATGGGCCAATAGCAGCTGCCTCGTATGGGCCTATAGGAGCATTTGGCCATGAACACATTCAGAACACCACGAGTGAGAGCAGCCACACCCAGCCTGTCTCCCTCACTCCAACATCTTACTCGCCAACATTGCTCCTCCCACCATGTTGTTATAGTTCTTATTACACATGTTCTATAAACCTATCAACATGTTTTATTTACCAGAACTATGCAAGTAAGCCGGTATTGTATCCAAACAGTACAGTGGCCACAATACACTGCATGAAAAATCACACAGCAGACGACGCTACGATTACGTCACCTCCCTCACCAAAATAGCTCCTCTCAACATTCTCCTGTTGCTGTTCTTACACTATATACACACACTATATATACCCATGTACATATGTGTTGCCCATAGCGAACCACTAAGCTAGTATGGTGAGCAAAACAAGAGTGGCAGCCACACACACGATGAGGTTACCTCAATTCTCGCCCTCCCTCCCTAATCAAAATTCCTCCTTCCACAATACTACGCACAACGCTAATTATAACCACAATCCTGCTATTATCACAATCCTGCGGCCAGATTCACGAAAGCACTTACGCAAGCACTT